CAGGGGTCCGTGCAGAGTTTCTAAAGCATTTGCGAGTTTGCCCCTTTCGAATCGGTCGCCTGGCTCTCGTGCTGGGGTCTCGGACGCATCCGAAGGCTGCTCGGGCCCCGACGCCTCAGCGAGACCCCTGGATTTTGCTGCAGCGGTAAGCACGTCAGCCTCCAGACCCTGGATGCAGAAGTCTGTTACGGTGGATGGAAAAGGCTCTCTGCGCTGGCCAGCCTCTCCATTTTCTGAGCAGCTCTCCCCTCCCCGTGCCTGCTTCTGGGGTGCATCCCTTCCCTCCCGAGCATCAGGAAAGAAATGTTTCGGGTTGGTTGCCCGGTGAACTGCTGGGGGAGAGCGAATAATGTGCACGTTGTGTTTGAAATGTCACGTTGTATCCTCCAACCGTTTTTTCAGATCGAAATCTCAGCTGGTGCTCAGCGCTCCGTAGGCCTTCAGGCCCGGGATGCGGATGGGTAGTTTTTCATGGTCGGACAGAAGGTTATCTGGGAAGCGCTTACTGTACGTGGCCTGGGGCGTTTGTGCACGGACGGTGGTGCGCTGGTGCTGGCGACCAGGAGGCTGGTTTAGAGGGAGCCGAGGTGGAGATGAGCGGCACGGATCGCAGCCGCTGGCTGATGGAGATGGGCTGCAGATCCCGGCCCTTGCTGATCTTGCCATCCTTTGCTCATCGCCACCCGGGACTCGTAGGGACTTAAGCTCCAGGGGCTGTGCTCTTTGCGAGCTGCCACCTTCCCTAACCTGGAGCAGACCTGTGGTGGGAGGGCGGCCGAGTGGCCGACCGGCCTCCTGCGGCCCCGTGAGTCTGCTGGTGATTTTTGCGTGGCCGTTTCTTGAGACCCGCTGCCGCACGGACTGGCTTTTGTGTCTGAGTGAGCCGGAGCAGGACTGAGCTCTGCCTGAGGAACGAGCTGCGGTAGCGTAACGTGTCGGAGAGGCGTGATTCAAATCACCGTGATTTTATGTACGTGGGGATAGTAACGAGTTTGAAGTTGCATCAGCTTCTGTTTGTGTCCAAGGCTTTAGCAGCTGAGGGCAGAAGGCAAGACCCAACACTGCTCCCTTCCCCGGGTGCGGTTGGAGGGCTGGAGAGGCCTTTGAAGGTTTGATGTGACTTGCTGGGTTTGCGAAGCCATATTGCTTTGGCAGGAGAGGCGGCAGCCTCCTCGAGCCTGATGACTGGGTGCGGAAGGGAACCCGAGGCGTGGGCCAGGCATAGTGTCTTTTGAATCGGAATAAATATCGAAAAACAAACCAGGACTGCTGAAGCTACACACAAGAAAAGGTCGGGCATCCTGCCTGGGCTCGGAGCCGGCTGGCGGTAGCGGAAGGGCTGGGTGACCTGGGGGGTGCCCTGGTGGGATGCACTGGTTACCCCGCCGCGGTCCCCGGGGCTCCCTTTATCTTTGCTCTGGGCACTCTTTATCTTTTCTCTGAATACCGCTGGCTGTGCAGAGGGAAATGGCCTGGGCCCTGGTGTTGCCTCAGCCAGCTGAGCGCAATTAGCTTTATCTTGTGGAAAATACAGTGCTTTCATCCGGCCCGGAGGTTTTGTCAGAGCTTGCCAAGATTGGAGTGGTTGCACGTGAGACCTAGACACAGAGAGACCCAGCCGGTCCCCAGGCCGGCGTGCACAGACGTGGCTGTGCCGGTCGGCTCTCAGGTGAAGTGCAGGTGGGAGAAATGCTTTTTTCCTCCTGCTTCACCCGAAGCCAGGCTTCTGTTCGTTTCTGGGTCTGTTCTGCCCCTTTCTGTGAGCAGAGAGGGGGCGGGGGAGGAACGGATCCTGTGGCATTTCTCCAAGTGAGGGTCTTTACGAAGCAAGGGGAGGCTGGAGCGAAGGGTTGTGGCTGCCCGCGGTCAGACCCGGGGGCTGGGAGAGGTTTGGAAAGCGTCAGAGCCCGGTGTCCTGCCGAGACGGCTCTCTCCTAGCGCCCGGTGCTGGGAGCAAACTTGCCGACAGCCGATGTGCCGGAACGCGGGGCTCCGAGAAAGGTCACGTACAGTGCAGCCTTGGGAAAGCTGCTTATGCGGGTGGGACAGGTGAGTCAGTGGCTTCCTCCTCATTTTCCGTCATAATCCCGCTCTTCGGAGCGAGACGTGCTGTCTGCCTGCTCCCCGGCAGCCTCCTGGAGCTGCCTTCGTTTGCCTCCTCGCCGGCTGCTCTTGGACCCTGCCGGAGCGTGCAGCCCTTTGCAGGCCACCGTCACTGAGCCGGGCAGGGAGGAGCAGGCTACTACCACATTTCTGCCGCGCTCTTGTTGCTATTTGCAGCGTCGATGCTTGCCTTGTATTTAGCAATGGCAGCTGAGGAGGCCAAGGGAGGCAGAGGGGCTGTTGCCTGCGCCTGAGAAACGTTTAACGCTTGCCTTCGCAGCTCCCTTCCCTGCGTGTTGGCAGCTCTTGGGTTGGCTGGTAGGAAATGCCGGTGATGTTCCCCAGATCTGCTCGTGTTCGGTCTCTTAAAAGATGAGGAGGGGTTTTGTGTGCCGTTTCCTCTTTGCACTGGAAAAAAACTGCTGGTGCCCGGGCAGGAGGGAGAAGGGGGAGCCCTGGGAAGGAAATAAGATCCAAAGAAATGTGTCGCCAGCAGAAAGAGCAATTGTGTTCCTGCATTTACATGGCAGAGCCTCGTCCTGTTCAGGCAGCCGATGTTTGACAGCCAAGAGAATACATTTATATTGATGTAATTAGTGGGACGTGGAGTTTGCTGAATGGCTTGGGGGCAGCACGCTTTTCAGCCTAACTCCAGCAAATGGATCAGGGGAGGGTTGGAACGCTGCCGTGGGTTGCTGGAATTGGCCCTTTGGGTTTCTGGAGGTTGAGTACATAACTGCTGATATTTCCTATTGTGCCGTACCCTGCCTAGTTGAAAAGAAAATAACTTGAGGGAACGCGGGGCTATTTTTGCCAGCTTGAGATGATCAAGTTTGATTTCTAAAAATTGAAGCCGAGTCTTTAGGCTTGCCCATTTAAACCGGTATTGGAACCATCTCTCTGTTCCTCTACAAATGCATGCCTCTGCGCTTTGCCAGTGGTGTAAACTCTAATGTGTGTTCATAAAAAAAGAAATAGCTGTTCTGTTCCTGCAATGCAGCCCCTTTTGTAGCAAGCCAGGGCGCTAGCTAAATGCTGCGGGACTGAACAGCGTCGGAGGGTGGCGATTGCACCGTGTCAGGGAGGCCAAGCTGGCATCTCGCCCCCGTCCTGGGATCAGCAGCCCTTCCCAAAGCTGCAGGGTTCTCAATACACGTTCGCTTTGGTGAAAGAGAGACCGAGACCTTACAAAAAGCTGCCGTCCCCCTCCGGTGATATCGCCCAGCTGCATTTCTATAACGTGCAGCACCAAAGTTTCCCCTTTGGCATCTTGTTCCCAGCGCCAGCCCGGATGATTTTGGTTTACTGAGGATATCACAGGCAGCTTCCCAACCTGCGCCGCGTTGCGTTCCTCTGACAGCAGAAGGTCCTTCTGCTCCTGCCGCAGCAAGGTCTGCAGAGAAGGTAACTCCGACAGCTGTGCCGGGTACCAAGTGAGCTCCCTCTGTACTTGTGCTGGTCTGTGGAAGCGGGAGCACGGCACGAGGGTCCTCGCGTGCTGGGCTGTGTCCTCCCCACCCCGTGGCAGCCCTGCTCTCCAGAGAGGCTGCAGCACCGCTGTGGTCAAGGACTTGCTCTCCAGCTTGCCTGCATCGGTCACCGGCCTGCCCGACTCAGGCCAGCGGACAGAGCTCGGGCAGTCCTTGGAATCTCAGCACAGGTTTTATTTTAAGCTGCTGGGTGTTAAGCGGTTTCTCTTCCTAGCCCATGCGTACGCAAACACGTCTTCTGCAAGAAAAATGACGTGGTGTCACGTAGACTGATGTGGGCACTTGTGGGGTGTGCCGTCCTGGGCTGTGCCGTCCTCTGGTGTTTGTCTCTCTGGCTCTCCTAAGTCTTAAGCCTTTCCAGTGAGCAGGAGTGGCTTGACTGTGTGCCTTGGAGATGCTCTCGGCCAGGAGTTCCCTGTGTAGCCAGTGCTGTACAGACCCTTGGGTTTAAAAGGATCGGGATGGTCCTCCTGAACCTTAATCAGGCCCTTATTTACTTTTTACTGGTTCCCGAGGGGGGTCTCTTGCCCTCTCTGTAACATTCTCCGTTTGCTGGTTTGGTTCCACGAGCAGCACGTGTCCAGGCATTCACCACAGGTCGCCTTTTCACAGAATCCCAGCCTGGCAGGGGCTGGAAGGGCCCTCAGGAGCTCACCCAGTGCCACCCCCCTGCCCAAGCAGGCTCACCCAGAGCAGGGGGCACAGGACAGCGTCCAGGTGGGGGTTGAAGATCTCCAGAGAAGGAGACTCCACAGCCCCCCTGGGCAGCCTGGGCCAGGGCTCAGGCACCCTCACAGTCAATAAGTTCTTCCTCACGTTCAACTGGAACCTCTTCTGCTTCAGTTTGTGCCCATTGCCCCACTGCCTGGAAATCTCAGTGGTTCTGGAAGAGAAAAGCTCTTTGTGAATTCCCCATCACCTACCCCAGGGGCTGCACCTGACGGTGGGGCTGTGGGGAGAGCAGGCAAGGTGGTGGGGGCAGAACCGGGTCTGGTGCTCTTGCGTGCTTCTGCCGCGCTCCCGGAGAGGCTCAGCGATCACGTTGTTCTGGCTGAATCCTCATTTGCTCCCTCCCCAATCTAAAAGAGAAACAGAGTGTGCTGGTGAGCCAACCAGTTATGGACAAGGGTTCTTGTTGCGTCCATCTGATAAAAGCCTGTCCCAAAGGAGACAACACTTTGTCAAAGTATGAATTTCATTAGAACAGGTTGTTTCAAGAGCAGAGAGTGTGAAGGGGGAAGGGGAAATGTCTTGGGGGAGGGAGGTTTGCCGAGGCAAGTATTCCAACGTCATGCCTTCTGCGGGTGGGATGGGCCTGTTTGACAGAACCAGAGGAATTTGTACTTTTGAATTTCCAGTAGGTGTAACTGCTAACGATGTCCTGGCCATGCGGAGTAATTAACATCTGTTTCTGTATTTGAACATTCAGGCAGTGTGCCCCTCCAGACATCCCTGCGTTCACATCCGGAGCCCTTGGGAGATCCTGCCCTGTTGCTAATTGTCGAGAGCTGTCCAGAATCCTTATCGTTAAGATCCTGCTGTGCTCTTGAGGTGTTGCGTTACCTGCACGACGACAGCTCTTACCGGAATGCTAAGCAGCCGCCGCCGTCAGAGGGAGTAAGGCCAGTGGTGGGAACAGAACCATCAAGTCAAAGGTTCTGAACCAAACAAAGGTTCTGAAACGACGAGTGAAGAATCTGAGTTGACTCAAAAGCAGATCGGTTCCTGCCTCCGGGTGGGACCGAGCCCCAGCCCATCACCAGCTGGATGCCGCGGGAAGCACAGAGCCTTCTCAGAGCTGTGGTTCAAGTGGATGCTGACTGAGTGACCTAAAATGTGAGGTTGGTTGCATGTGCAGGTGCAATGCTGATCAGCCCCGAGCCTCGGGAGCCATTCGTTCTCACGTGCCTTTCTTTCCTCTCCCTTCCCCAGCTCGGTGCAGCAGCGGCTCCTCCTAGCAGGCTCGGTGTGCTGCCCGCGGCTCTGTGCAGAGACCTTCTAGCATGCTCCTCCACCCGGGCCGCTCCGCTGGTGCCAACAGCAGCCGCTCGACCCCAGGGACGCCAGGCTGACTTCGCACCAACTGGGCATTGGACCTGCAGAGCAGAAGCCGTCTTGGGTGAGCGGCTTTTCTGACTGTGGTTGGCTCTGTGCTGGGCTGGGAGGGGCTGAAAGGAAAAAGACCTTTCCTCCTCTGGCTTGTAAGCACCGTGACCCTGCTTCTTGTCTCCCACGCCTCTTGTTCTTGTCTTTTTTTCCTTGTTTTGTTTCCTTCTTTGAGTGTTCCTCTCTCCTTGCTGTCTTTGTGAAGGCTGCGTGCCCCTGTGGGTGGGGATACCGGCGTCCCCTCGTTTTCTCATGGCAAAGAGGAAACAGGAAGAGTGGAAGAGGAAATGTGGGGTCTTCCAGGACCTCGCAGTCTTACGCCGTGGAAACTGCGTGACTGTCCCAGGGTGTGCTTGAGGCAGTGCAAGGGCAGGGAATTCATCGAAGAAACTCTGCGCTGCTTTGCCTGCAGTAACCACAGTGCCGAGTGGCGGTTCCCAGCCCGGGACTGGGACAGAGAGATGACTGTGTTGTGCCTTAAGTGGCTGGGGCTGCTTCCAGCCTGGCGATTCAGAGCCTGCCCTGCAGGGACAGGGAGAGGTGGTGGGAAGCCAGTCCGAGCTTGTGCCTTCAGGATGCGCTCGCGGTGTCCACTGCAGGAGAGCATCTGGTGGTGGTGTCCCTGTGTTTGAATGAGCAAGGCTGATGTGGCCTTATCCCAGGCCAGGGCTTTGGATTAATCGAGTGGTCGCTGGTGTGCTGTGTGTTGGCTGGTCTGGTCCGCCTGGGTGCTTATGGGCTAGGGGGAGTCTCCGTGTGCCTTTGGTGTCCAGCCTCAGCAGAAGGTCTGCAGGGATCTCTTGCGGTTTGGGGTCAGTGAAGCCAGGCCGTGAGCACTCTGGTCTTGGAACGGTGACTGTCACCAGGCAGGCGTTGGCTGAGATCTGCGCCACGGCTAGCTCTCAGCTGTGGGAGGGATGAAGTAACGTTCCTTGCTCTTGGACCGGTTTTGATGCGGCCTCGGAGAGCGTTGTGAATGCTGCTGCAGGTGCTCACAGCCCTTGTTCCCATCGCCGGACCTTGCCGCACGAGGCGCTTTAGGAAGCGGAGCCTGGTGGAGGGAAGGCTGGGGGTCTGGGGCTCGGGATGTGTCTTGCAAGGCATTTGAGAGCAGCTCCTGTTACATGACCTCCTCTCCATCTGCCCGTTCGGGTTAACGGGAGTTCAGGATGCAGCCAGCTGGTCTCGGTGAAGAGGTGCTCCGTCGCTGTGCGGGGAGGTACCCTGGGTGGCCGTTCGGGCCGGCTTTGCTGTAGCAAAGGCAGTTTCTTCCTCAAAGCATCTGCGTTATGGTTCAGCCCTCTCATCTTAGCATACAGCATTTTCCTTCTGCGATCATTATATTTGTTCAAATAACTGCTCTCGTGGGCAAATATCGCTCAAGGCGTTGTGTAATTGAACGCATCCTACAGTTGGAGCTGTATCGGTGTAGCTGAAGAGGAGCCGCTTGTGATGGAGACGGTAAGCCAGTACGGCCACTCCGGTGAGGAGAGGGCAGTATCGTCGTGGCGTCAGGCACTGTTGTATCTGTCACTTCAGCTGTACCAGGTGTCATTCCAATCGTGTCATTTCAATGACAGCATTATCTCCTAACAGAAATAGTGGCACGGTGACGACACCAGTGGGCAGAGGGATTCACGTGTTTTTCAGGATCACCCAGGACAGAGTACGGGTGCAATCTGGAGGTGGAGAGGGGTGAACAGTAATGTGATGCTTCTCCGTTAGGTTATGGCACCAAGCTGTGCTGGAAGAGGAGCTATCTTCTTGTCCCCTCTGGGTTTTGCTCCCCCTGTCCCACCCCTCCGTGCTCCCCTGGTTCCCTGTGCTCGTGGGGCAGGCAGCAGCCTCTAGCGCAGTTCTCGGCAATTCCCACACTTTTATCTCCCGGTGGTTTCTGATGGAAATGCCAAATGCCACTGTTGTCTGTCAGGCTTATCCTAGCTCTGCGCTTGCCTGAGGCACAGCCAGGGACGTGGTGGTTTAAATCTAGGCCAGTTGGTTGGAAATTGGGACGTGGTGCCTGATCAAAGCCAGGAAAGGCCAAATTGCATTAAAATGGCAGGAGGAGACACCCAGGTACTGCTGCCCTTGTGTGAAGAGTCCATGTGGCTCTGGACAGGGCAGCGTGGTGACGACGGGGAGCTGTCTCTAGCAAGGGACGCAGCTGGATGTGGCTTGGACGAGTTACGTGTTTACCGTCTGTCTGATCTGTGTTAGAATTAACGCTGTGGCTCGAGTGCCTGGGGACAGCGTGCTCGGGGGACGTCTCCTGCACCCTCCGTCTCTGAGACTTTGCTTTCCAAGCCCGTGCCCTGGGTTTTCACTGGCTGTGAGACCCTGCTTCTTGCTGCAGCTCTCTTCCCTTCCCTCCCCTTCCGCAGTGGCCAGCTCTTCCTCTGCTTATCTGGCAGCTTAGCATGATCTGAAGGTACAATCCCTGATGTCCTTTTGGCTATGACCTCGTGTTTGTGCTGTGCCTGGGCACCCATGGCCCCCTACGAGTTCAGCTTGCTGAGTGATGGGAGGACCATCATCGGTCAGCAAGGCCCGTTCCCTGCTGCTGAAGACAGTCGTCCTGTGCAGGTCATGAGCTTCTCCAGGAGCTCTCTGTTGGAACTAACTCTCTGCTTTTTTCCCCAGTGCTTCTGGAGCAGCTGGTCCAGAGGTCTGCTCCCTGAAAGGTTAGAAACCCTCCTCTGACTTCCAGTATCCAGTTTTCCTGGGCTGGGTTATTCTCCTTGTGCCGTTGCAGAGTGTCATCTTGCAGATGAGAGATGACTTGCAAATTTTTTTTCCTCCCCTGGTTCGCTGTAACCTTTATGTCCTGCACCAGTCGTGGCTCTCGATGCAGATTTGTCCTGAGAAATGTGTTGAAAGCTGCTTTGTTTTTTCCATCGCTTCTTTTTGGGAGGTTGGTTTTGCTGGGCCCCATTTATTTCCGTGTTGTGCTTTTGAGTGTTTTAAGCGCAGGTGGGGTTGTGAGCTGCACAGTTTGTGGATGTTAGCGAGTACAGAAGAGCACTTTTTGTGCTACTGTCACTTCTGTTGTCTTTTTTTTTTTTTTGATGTTTGTCCTTGCTGCTTTTGCCATCTTGCCCCTTCAGGAGGGAGAGATGTTGTCAGAAACAGTCGACTCAAGGTGAACCTGATAAAGCAATGCATTGAAGAGCCAGTGCCTGGCTCTTACTTGTGGCTCTTATTCATGTTTATCTCTAGCTGTGAATGTGCAATAACAACAGTTCTGTTCTGCACAGGCTGGCACAGCCTCAGACAGGAAGATCTGCTGTTTACCAATCAACACTCTGCTCTAAGTGAGAAAGGGGGGGAAAAAAAAATGTTTTATTGCTGCTGGGTAGCCCAGAGTGTGGTTAAACCTTTCTGAAAAAAAGAGGAAACTAAGAGCACATGTGTTACTCAAGACGCATTTTTCCTGGCAAGAGTCCCGTGCGTGCGTTCTTCCTGCAAAGCGTCCCTGCTTATGCTGCTTCCCATTAAATCTATAGCATACTGGTAGCAGGCAAGTAAAAGCTTTCTGGTTTTATAATGCAACTGGCCTCGGCAGGCAGTCTCTCGAGGTGATTCTTCAGCCTGGCATGTTTGCCAGCCGGGGCAGTCTGTGGGCTGAGCGGGATGACAGAGCTCTGCTACAAGGATTATAAATACAGGGAGGAAAAGATCTGGAAATTAGCTCTGCTGGTAAAGCTTCCCCAGATGAGATGCTGTGGCTTGGCTTGTTTTGTTTCTTCCCCGTGTCTGTCTGTCTGTGGCATTACCGTGATGTTGCTAATGAGCCCAACCACACCAGCCCACACACGCTGCCGTTAACGCCGCGCTGGAAAGCCAGCCGCCGTCGCTGGTGAACTGGAGGGTGCAAGGGGCTCGTTGCACTTCACTGGAGCAATGTTAATTGGCTTAATAGAGCACTGGGGTTTTAAAGATTTGGTTTTCGCTTGCATTTGGGTGTTTTTTTAGTGTGTGTGCACTCAGACCCTGCTTGGGCAGTGCCTTTGTTGCCGTTTTCGTGCTTGCTCAGAGAAGGACCTTCCTGCTCTTCGGTTGTCAATGGAGATGGGGTTTGAAGCTAACACTTATTTTGGAGAAACCTTCCTGTCCGCTGCTTCTCCCTCTTTTTCTCCCCATAGCTTGTAATTAAGGTGTTGATTGCCCTTTCAAATCTGTATAATCCCCTCTCTCAAAGTGACATTGCTAGATTTCCAGTAGCTCACTGGATAATCTGTCACTGGTTTGCAGCGTCCTGTGCAAGGCAGAAGAGGAAACTTTCTTCCGACTTTGACGCTGGTTGCTTTGCGGCTAAGCTGGCTCTACAATAAATCTACTTTTCCTATCAATCTTTCGCTTCAGGCTTTGGACACCTCTTCCTCTGCCTGCATACTTATGAAGAGTCAGTGCTGGGCATTAAATGCAGCTCAGCCCAACTCAGCTGCTGTGTATGAGTTTCTTCTGTGTTAAAAGTTGGGCCAGAACCAGTTTCAAGGCAGCTGAAAGAAGGTAAAGATCCTCAAGCTTGCCTTTGCATGTTAATGACCATGGCCGGAAAGATGTGCTGCTGTTCGGGACTTTGCTGAAGTGTAGCATGAAGCATGAGGTCCCGTTCTGTGCTGGTCTAGGACTCCCAGTTAAATTATCTTGTTACCTCGTTAATAGCCCATCTGGAAATCTGTTTCCAGGCAGCTAATTTCATCTAATGATATCTCCGCAAGTAGCGCACCAATCTTATTTCTCACCGTGATTTGGAAAACAGCTCATTTGCAGCTTCCAGTCCCTTAGATTCCCTCTAAGGCTGGAACATCTGACTTGCCTCTCTTCTCTCAGCCCTGCTGCCCCATAACAACGTTCGGGTAAGTTTTGCCCTTCTCTCCGTTTTCCCTGTCCTCCCGTCTGCAGTGCTCGCGCAGTCCCTGCTGTCCTAGTGCCTTGCGAACCCGACGACTTCTTGGCCCTGGGAGGTAGGGCAGTGCTTTCTGAGTCATGGGACTGTGCCCCGAGTCACAC